TACCACTTTCTGTCCACTTTCTGTGCAATGTCGTGTGAAATCGTCAGGTGCAAGTGCAGGTTTTTTGGGGGGATTTGTGTGGGATAACCTACAGATTTCCCCCGTGTGATAACATCCTAAGTGTAGTACCTTAAATTTCTCCCTGTTGAAATTTATTTTATTAGTTTTTGCCCAGCTTTCTAATCTTTTAGAAAGTTCTACATATACCATGGATGGCTAAAAAGACAAGTAAATGGGTCCCAGAGCAAATCAAGCCTGAACTCTCCCTAGGAGCCAAGATGTTTAAACTGAGACTGACATACCTTGGCCATATGATGAGGAAACATGACTCACTAGAAAAGACAATGATGCTTGGTAAGGTAGAAGGTAGTAGGAAAAGAGGAAGGCCATATTACAGATGGATGGATTAAATCAAAGAAGCCACATCTCTGAATCTGCAATACCAGAGCAGGTCTGCTGATGATAGAATGACCAGGGACTTTATCACACCAGCCTGCTGTCCCACCACAATTGTGTTAAGTTTAAGAATAGAAGCATGCTGGTTTGGCATAATTTCTTATCATACTTTTCCCCATGATAACACTTTCGCAATCCATGGTCACGTGATCTGTTTTCAACACTGCCAAACACCACCTTCCAGGAGGAAAGGGGAAGGCAGGACAAACAATTGTGGTTGCCAAACACCTCCTGAAGTCAAATGCTGTGTGACTGTACACAAAGCAACCAGCTTTGGAAAACTGTTGGCAACCGTGATCACTGCAAGAGGGAGAAGAAAAGTAGCAGAATCTCACCCACTTACACTGTGTGACTGCCTGAGAAGTGGAACTGCAGCAGAAGGGACTTATCACATGGAGGCACTAATGGAATAGCAGTGAGATTAAGAGCTTATTGATGGGTTTTGCCTGTCAATGAAAAGGTGCACTACAGTAACAAATGGAATGCAAGGCAGCAGTAGGACAGACACGATATTGTGTGATAAGGACCAACCAGAGATGTTTTATTCTGTTAAAATTCTAGTTTTCTAGCCTCGTGTGATAAATTGCCTGAAGGTCTGTCACTCATAGGGTCATCATAAGTCAAAGGCTTCATCCACACTGCAGAAATAATCTAGTTTGATGCCACTTTAACTGCCATGGTTCAATGCTAAGCAATCTTGGGATTTGTAGTTCATTATGGCACCAGGGTTCTCTGAGAGAGAGAAGGGTAAACATCTCACAAAACTATCACTCCCAGGATTCCTTAGCATGGAGCCATGACAGTTAAAGTAGTGTCAAACTGCATTATTTCTGCAGTGTTGAGACAGCTGAAGCCAACTTTATGGCAGTTAACAACACGAGAATTCTCAGCCAGAGAGCTCTACTGCCTCACCAGACTATCAGTCTCAATATGCCAGAGGATGCAGCCATGGTGGTTATAATGCTACAATTCCGTAGTGTGAAAGAGGCTTGTCTTCAAAGGCACCCCTGTCATTTTCCTCTCTACTGAAATTCATGTTTTGAGATCTTCTAGAAAGGCCCTCCTTTTTATCTCACCACCCTCACAGATTCACCTGGTAGGGATATGAGGGCCTTCTTGGTGGCTGATCCCAGGCTCTGGAACTCCCTTCCTAGAGTTGCAGGGGTTGCAGACTGCCAGAAATAGTGCAAATTGAGTTCACTTTTAGGGTTAGGGTTAGAGTTAGGGAATCATGGGAACTGTATTTTATTGTGGCACCAGAGCTCTCTGACAGAGAAGGCTCAATG